GCTAATAAAACAAACCTCAACAATGAAAGAATACAATGCTCCTCTACTCTTAACTCAAGCTTGTTCACACCCAAGCAGGGCACTAAGACTATTTCCTAGCTCTGGCACTCGACTGTCAGTGGCACTGAGATGCGCAATACAGTAGGAGCATTTCCCTAATCTTGGTACCTCTGTTGCCACCAAAACCGGGTGTGAATCTTACACAATTTACTCCCACTTTTCCCCCAACTTTTAAACACTGAAGCTTTCTGCAGTGCTCAAACCGTCCAAGGTGAGAATGCTGCTCTTAATTGTAGTCACAAGCTAGAACCTCAGCATAACCATGAGCTTTGTTTGGATTAGTGAGCTCTGAGTCAGGCTGCAGTCTCCTCAGCCCAGTGCTTCCTACATCTTCAGGCTCAAGGCACAGAAGCAAGAGAGCCAAGGAGCACCCTTAGGCTGAAGACAGCAGCAAGGAAGCTGATGCAATGGCCCCTCATACCAGTCTGCCACTACCACAAAGGTCTTCAGCCAGGAAAATGCCCAGCCTCACTTTGCCACACACATAATGTTTAAAACTGTTTTACAAATCATTTAACCTAAGTCAACTTCTTAGCAGTGTTGGAGGGTGCTGGTTCAACTTTCCCCACACAAAGCTCTTAACAAGAATCCTTCAGGCTTTTCTAGCACTGCCAGCCACAGGGAATCTCTCATGTTGCTCATACCTGCCTGGGGCTTCCATTTCACAGGGACCATTCTCAGAACCCTAAAACAGAAGCCTTGTCAATTCCTGGCGTAGGGGGTCACCGATACACTGTACTTGTGGCTTATAATGTTGCTGTGCGACAGTGGTGGTAGTAAGAACCTAAGCATCTGGACAAGCAGGCACTGACTGGTGTTTCACAAAGTACACAGCACAGTCTAACAGAGATCGCTGTCGACGTTACTTACCTAGATCCACAAAAAGATGCTTTTCTCCCATGTTATTCTTCACAACTAAAAATGAAAGATCAGGATTGCTTTGCTCAGCCAACTCTAGTCTCTCTGGCATCTCTGAATTCAAAATCCAGCTCTTTGCTATATCCTTATCTGGGGACATTTGGTTAAAGGAAGTTCTTTGTTTCAATGGTGTTGCAGGAAAATGGAAAAATTCATGACCCTCTGGATTTAGAACCTTGTCATCATCTTCACTGGAAATTAAATGAAGAGCAGGCTGCAAAATTTTTCTCACAAAATTACCTAAAGAATAAAAAGGCATCATTATAAATTCTTTTCAGCAAACTATTAAGATAGAGGCACAAAGCTACACATGACAGATTCATACAGTAAGGCATCTTAAAAAAATTATTTTACAACTGAATTGTTGCTAGAAACTAACTGTTCTGTTCTACTTCCTTTTACTTTCTCAATCTTGGTGTCAGTTGTAAACAAATCATTTAAATATAGCTAGCAGGGACCTGCATGCTGTAACCAACAGAGCACCACTTTATTAATTGAAATTGAGCAGAATCATCTTCACAATTGATGACTGCATAATGAAGGGTTTACATGAAGACGCTGCTGCCAAGCAACGACAGCATCTTTGCTATGCCCTCCTGGAGTCGCTGGTCACTTCTCCTGAGCTCATTCTCTCCTTTGCCTGCCCTGGCAGGCCCTCAGAACGCTGACTGCCCACAAGGTTGCTTTTAATCCTGTCTCTTGAATTATGGTCTCAGAGCTAAAGAACCCACAAAGGCAGCCAAAAACATTTTGTGCTTCATTTAACATCAGAGCTCTAAGTAGCAGCAGTGCTATGTGCCCCCAGAAAAGTTGGTGAGACAACCTGGAATTTCTTTAACCTCACATACACTATGTCACATATTATGCAATAATTTAAGGCTATGAAGTTTGTTTCATGTATAAACAATATTGCAGAAATGCAATACTCTAGAACTGTAATAGTCTGGGTTTATGTATCACTTTATTTATGAAAAAGGTTTTAGTCCTTAACTCATAACAGATGTGCTAAATTCAAAATTCTCCTAAGTAGCCCTATTTTTCTATTCAAAGAAACAAATCCAATTCATTTAAAGATCAAAATGAAAGCAAAAGCACTTGACCCTTGCCATGTGATTATTTCTGAAATAAGGCAGAGAAGATAAAACACCAAGTTACAAGAAACCACAACAAATCAAAGGATAGCAAAGCAATAAATATAAATAGATAGAGTTAATTTTCCTGGAAACATCCAGTTGCATCTACTTGACCCCGAGCAGTAAGTAAGTGCATGGTTGTAGAAACAGCAGCAACGTCAGTGTCAGGAAGACCAGCAGGCCTTTGACCTCTGAAGGGAGCAAACATGGTCAGGAATGATGACACTCACCCATACAAACAGAAACAGTAACAGTAACACAGGCTCTCACAGCTTTGTTCCTACCTCCTGCTCTAATCTTAGACAAGAGTTATTGGCTG